TTGGACAAACAGAAATCAGAACGCAGGAAGACAACACCTTCTTTGCTGAAGCCTGTAGCAGCAGCACGTTGCCCTGCTATACTGCTACTGCTTGTGCCGCAGGCCCCGCGCCAGGTATCGCTGCTGCAGCAGCTCTGGCCATTGCTGCGCACTCAGAGCTTCAGTTTGGGTGAGGCGGCGACGTTATGGGTACAATCAGCACTTGAGTCAACCGGTCAGGGTCTGCATCACTGTGGGACTGGCATAGTCAGATTGCAGCATGCTCTGCTCATCAAGGGGCATTGATCGAGCACGTGACTCTGTATCCCTGCTTAGAGAGGTCAACTTGAACACAACTTCTTAAGAAAACAGCAACTGATCGCTGAAGCGTATCTTGCGGAGAAATGGATTAACAAAAATGCGCCGTCGCAGCTCTGCCTGAGCTCCGTGAAGCCCAACTTGAAGCCCCAGGGCCCCAAGAAGCTTACCCGGACGGCGCTGACCGCCGCGGCCACTGAGGCGTGTCAGAGATTTGAGTGAGCAAGAGAGAGGGAAGTGGGTTGTGGTGCGTCTTTGTAGGACCGAGGAGTTGAAGCTTGTCATTCTTTGCATGGTTCAGGGCTCTGGGCTCTGGGATTGCATGTTCGTGTGCAGCAAGCATGCACCCGTAGCTGTGAAATGTGTCAACTTGTAGCCTTCGCTCCCATCCGAGGATTGGTTTGATCCTCCCATCCCCCCGGCGGTTTATCGCAAACATGATGCTGCTCCATGTAGACTGAAGAGTAGCCTGACAACATGGCTCCAAACACCAGAGCCTGCCACAGGCTACCGCAAACATCGCTCCTTTTGTGTAACCTGCCATGGCCATGATCCGCTGCGTGCAGCCATACCGATAGCACGTTCATCCCATGGCATCTTGGTTTTTACCATCAGCTACAGTAGTTAGACTGTCTAAGGATTTAGGATTGGAACAGTTTGGAGGCTTAGTTTGGGGAGGAACCTCAGGTCTGTTTGCGCAACTTTGCGGTATCCCTCCAGGATAGCGACTCTGGGAGTTGGCCAAGCGTTCTCCTGCAGGTGATAGGAGCATGGACTTTCGAAGATCATCTACTCTTGATATGCGTTGCGTGCTGCAATCGTTGCAGAATGCATACGAAGCCACAACCAACTAACGAATCTAGGTTTGGCTAAGGAGGAGAGCTTCCCGATCCAGCTCGTGGAACTTCGGCTGGCATGTATCAGGTTTCAGGACAACGTTACGTATCTAACATGGAGGAATTTGTTTAGAAGCACACAGGAAAGGTCCTGATTCGGAGCGGAACCCTTGAGATAGAGGCCATACCTTTTAATGCATCTAGTCAAGGAAGGGAGCATGAGGCCGAAGCGTCTTGGGATGCATGGCTTGCTTTAGCCAGAGCTGTGCTCAATCTCATACACTTGCTCGCAGATGTCAGTATCGCAACAGTTGATGCTGCTATGCCTCTAGAAAATAACCGCTGGTGCGGTTTTCTGGGTTTGGCCTGATGCTGAAGGAGACAGCAAGTGGACGGGGTTTGGTTGCCAGCCGCGACGTTGCCAAGGGTGAGGCGCACAAATATTTTTGCATGCAGTTGGTGTCTTATCACATGGAAGGCTAAAGTAAATGGTGTTTGCAATGCAAGTTGTGGCCTCAGCCTCGAAGTTCAAGAAACAGCAGGATTCGACAAGAGTCTTCAGGGTTGCCACAAACTGCGTCAGTCAGGTGGTCTTCCGCTGCGCGCCTGTTGCGGCTGTACTGCACGACTGGGCACTTGCAAAACATTGCAGGCCCACGCCGGCCGTCCACTCATATCGAGACGAGCTGTGATCAGATGTGTTCTGTGATCAGATGTGTTCAGTATAGCCGCATCAAGCATCCTCCCAACTTCTCCCAAGCCTTCAACACCTGATGCAGCCGCTGTCTGAAAGCCGTCGGTGCTGACGGCAACCCATGCTCTGGCTGCCGCCGCTCGGATGAAGCCTCTAAAAGAAGCTTGACTCACTGAACCCGGACAGTCGCCTTAGCTCCCCCTCATGCATCCCCCGCACCCCAGAAGGTGCCGGGTTGCAGTTCTCGCTGATTGGCGTGGTGTGTGGCTGATACTGTCACATGGTGGTCTAGCAGGCGAGAAACATGTAGCGCCCTGGCGCAGCACCTCTTGGACAACCGACCTCAAGCAGCTGAAGCCAATACTAAGACACACACGCGCTCAGATAGCGCCACATGCTTCAGCATCTCCAGCTTGGCAATGAACAGCACCCTCGAACGTTTCATGAACCAACATCAGGTGCGCGTGGTCGGCATGCATGCTAGCAAGGTCGAAGCATGATCTAGAGCTCTTTTATGATTGCTCCTACTAAATGTTTTGTTATAGTGTTATGATTCAGTTATGATGCCGTTATGAGTTTAACCAGGTGAAAACCTCAGACATGCGGGCACCCAGGCGCCGCTATTTTCTGCTCCGCCTGCCGTAAGCTGCCGGCAGCGCGGGCGCAGCACAGGCATGGCCTGGGTGTTTCTGTTTGCGAGGATCTAGGATAGCAGTACTACCTTAATAGTACCATAGCAATACTAGGAATAACTGGTAGTACTACCTTAGTATATGAGCTGTACTATAGTCTAAACTCCTTGAAGGGGCATATATACAGGGATACGGTACTATCTTAATAGATATGATAACATTGTGTGGTGCGGGGACAGTTGTGATTGAGAGCCTTCAGCCGAAAGTGCTGCGCACGGCAGGCTTGAAACTAGTTACTACTGGTGATCAGGTGTTGGCGTGCTGTCTCCGTTCAACTAGAAAAAGACTAGCAGTTAGCAGTCTGGATCAGCCCATGCCAGAAGCAGTGTCTGTCAAAGAGCCCTAGTTATCTGAACTCGCACGGATGCTCTCAGCTTCAGAACTCGGACTGGACACCTCAGAAGAGTATTCAAAACCCGCACGTTGTCTGACAAAGCTGCCTTCATATTCAACCAAGCACTGCTAGCTAAGAAGTCTCATCATTTAGGCACCTACATGCAATCCCTACAAACCCCTGCATAAATCCAGTTTCCATCCCTCTTTTCATTTTGCAGCTGATGCTCCATTATTCTCGTTGCATAGTCTGCATATTGCAACCCCTTCATTAACTGGTTGGCATGTTGTTCCCCAGTTCCTAAACCCTGAACCATAAATAGCTTCCTGTCCTCAGGAGCGAATGCCAGGCCTTACGACGTCTGCGGAGTGACTTCTCTGGGAGCTTTTAGGTCGCCTTATAGGTGAACTGAGGCTACTTGAACAGGAACCTTTGGGGGTGGTACGGGGGGATTGTTGGGGCACCCATGATTTTTGCAACGTCAGATGTTGACCTGAAGTTTGCGTGTTGAACGAAGGTGAGAAGCCACTGCGGCGCAAGCTGCACCTGAAGAAAGGTGCCTTCTTGTCAGCATGTTCACTGTTTGAGTGCATGATAAAGATTTTGGCTTCTTGCCTTGCATTCTGTTAATAGTGTACCAACGTTATCTATCTTGCAGTCCCTTTCCTTTGCGTGGTATCCTTTTGGGGTCTTGTGCATTCTCGATATTTTGCTGTGGCTCAGTTCTGGCTGCGTATGAATGCTGGATTCTCAGCCCATGCCATGGGGTTGCCGTTGCCAGCTTTATTGAACCAAATCACTGCAATGGTTGGCTACAGGAGGGCAATCCTTTCAACTTCCAACAGCCTAGATACTGTGGTGGGTCATGTGAGCTTCTGCCAAAGCAAATCCTCGGCACCCATCCGCAGAAGCCATGCTTCGTTGGCTAAGAGTTTTTAGGATTTTGGGACGGGCCCGAATCCAGATGTTCATGACCGCATCCTCGCTGATACTGGGCAGGACATGGCAAGGACGCGACCAGCATGATGCGGCTCTGAGCTCAGTTCTGGTAGGCCTTCCTTTTTCTTCAAAATCTCTCCATTGGCATTCCTGCGATCGAATGAGAATTATCCTCTGTTGAAGGCCTCAGATAAAGCCCTTGCTATAAACCTTGCCACAGCACGTCCAATCATCGACAATACCTCATCCGATGATGTTCAGATTGCAGGTCAGACCTACTTCTTTGGCCGAAATCCTGACTCCTGAATGCTAACGCCTAGAGATCCCTCGGTCACGGCGGCCCAGGCTCGCCCTTCGCCTGCTCAGTGTTCGGCGGAGAAGCCTCTATGGACAGAGGCCGCTTGAAAGAACAGAATCAGAAGCAAAGGGTAGACCTGTTTAGTTCGATTCGTCGGGATTCCCAGAAGGAATCATGGCGAGGTTGCTCTTGAGGCCCTTCAGGGGCATGGTTCTGAGAAACACCGTTCGGTGGCTGTCAAAGGAGGTGGGATGTGGGCTTAAATACGAAAAGACCGCGAAGATGTGACAGGCTGCTTAGATTTTACTTTTGACAGAGAAACAACTGATGTTGATAGCAGAGCAGCCTTGATGGTAAGCATTCAGCGATCGGCGGATTTTTGTGAGGCCACAACAAAGTGCCGTGAATGACGGGCTTTGAGCTGCGAAGCCAAACCTGACAGGCACCATACTCGAAAAGGATTTCAACTTACACAATGCGCTGGAAAAATCCATCAACTCTGCTGACACGCAAGGTCGGTGCCGCTTCTTGGTGATGAGGAAGGCGGCGGAGTCTGGGCTGCTTGCCGGCACCAGGAAAGTACAGGGCTTTTCTTCTGGCGGATCAGGTTTTTTTCTTGCTTGCGGTTTTGAAACGGCTGTGCATGTCATGGCATGCTGAAAAGAATCTGCCCGATCGTGGAATGTGAGGTCCCGGAAGAAGATGAGGACTGCTGGCCCCGCCCTTGGAATTTCAGGTTGCAGGTCTCTCCATTTTGAGTTGATCTTCTGCAGTCAGTCGGGGTGACACAGATGTCAAGTTGTGGAGGTTTTGGGAACCAAGCTTTTCAAATGTGCAACTCCTGCAACAACATGATGGCAGACCAACTTTGGTCCAGGACGTGGTCCATGACTCCTGGGAGGATGTAGAGATGCTGACACCTTCAGAGCAAGACTTGGATGCCATGGTGGAGGCCTTTTGCCATGGAAGGACTATAGTGCTGTGGGCATGTGAATTCAGTTCGTTCAGTTTGAAGCCAGATGATGTTTGAGAGATTTCTTGCATGCCAGGCATTGCCCGCTTGGCGAGGTCAACAATTGGAAGGCATCCTGACTGCAGTCCAGTGTACAGCATGTAGCTCACAACCCCAAACTCAGTGACCTGCAGCATGCGTGTTCGATCTCCCCAACAGCCTTTCCGGTTAAGGATTGTTACCAGCAACCCTTGATCACCAGCTTTCTCAAGCTCTGAGACTGGGCAAGGGGGCGCCAATGCCGTTCGGCTTCTCTTTACGGCGCGCCGCGATGAAATCTACCACCTGCTTTGCCGGAGACTTGCTGCCCATGTGTGAGAACGAGCCTGATGTTGAGAAGGTGCGAGAGGCAACCAGGCCCTGGCTCCTCTTACTGTACCCACGAAAAGCATCTTCTTTGGAATCCCAACACGGTTCCGTGGGTGAAGATGTAGTCTGGCAAGAAACTTCATTGTAAAGGCAGGCTCTCTCCCTGAACTTGGCTTAGCAGGGTAGACTTGATTGCGACATCGTGAATCATGCTGCACTCATTTGAATTACGGTGCATTCGGAAAAGCGCAGAACGCACGTGAGAGGAAGTAGCATGTCGGTAACTGTCTCAGAGCCACGCTCCTGTGCCCAAAATCCCAATAGACCTTCAGCCTTGCACTGACACACCGCACAGCAGCCCCAGGATCGCTTTCAATGCCATGGCATTGGTGCCTGAGGCACACTCCTGGGAAAGCGGGTTGGATTTTGCAGCATCATCATGGTCCTCCAAGCCTTCTTTGACATTCCTTTTCAACTTCTTGGAAAATGGCGACACAAACTTCTAGCTATTTACACGTAAGCACGAGTGCTCTTCTAGCAGTTGCGGTCTGATAGCTGCTGTACTCGCTACGTCGGTGATAAGAAGAGAATAGTTCAGCTACACCGATGAGAATGGAGAAAAGATTGGGGCCTGCACGAGTACAATGACCATGTTTCAGCAGCAGCAGTAACGGTGAAGACTGGAGCCGGGCAGAGGCGCCACTCCGAGCCGGAGGCCGATGGCGAGAAACGGGCTCCTCAGATTCAAGGGTTTCTATAAACAGAGGGGTCAGATGCGGTAAAATGAAATCTAGGGGCGCCAGCCTCAAATTCCACGTTCATCAGTTCGTGATCCAAGTTTTTTTTTTGTCCCTGTGGCTTCTTGCAGGATTTCATTTATGTTGCTGGCCCCTGTGGAAAGGGAACCCAGGAAATCTTATGTAAGTATTTGATCAGTTTGGGGATTCGGCCGACAGGATTCATTTCCGTGCACTGGGCATCTTCCCACTGTGATAGTGAGAGGAATTTTCGATAATAAAGACGACAAAGCCCGAGCCTCCCGCTGTGATAGTGGGAGGCGAGGGCTGGCGACGACAAAGCCTGAGCCGCCCGCTGTGATAGTGGGCGGCGAGGGCTGGCGACAGCAGCCTTTGAGGAGGCATGTCACAAATTTAGGTTTGCGGCTTAGGCTGGAAGGATTTTTTGCAGGCCTCCGGTCCACGGCAAAGCGGCCCCTTGTTTTTTTCCTGGGCGTGGCTGGGCTTAGAGGCTCTGGTCAGCCGTGGTCCCGCGCGTCGTGACGCCGGCGCGTGGGGCGTCCTCGACACTCTGAGCGTGAGTGACGACCCTCTCGGTGTTCTCGGCGTATGGTGACGCTGGTGGGTGGAGCGTCCTCGAAACTCTGAGCAGAAGTGGCGACCGTCTGGTTGTCTTCGGCGCGTCATGACGCTGGCGCGTGGAGTGTCCTCGAAACTCTGAGCGCGAGTGACGATGCTCTCGTTGGTTTCGGCGCGTCGTGACGCTGACACGTAGAGCGTCCTCGAAATATCCTGGGTGTGAGGGGCGACCCTCTCGGTGTTCTCGGCATGTTTTGTCATGATTCAACAGCGTTCATCATTCCGAATGTTTTTTCATCATGTGTCATCAGGTTTGATCATGTTTCACAACTTTAAAATCATGTTTCATTTCATCTTTTGTACATTTGTTCGTCAGTTTTCGTCACTGTTCATCATGTTGCATTGTGTTTCATCATTTCTTCTCACTTTCGATCGCTTTTCTTGATCCTCATTGAGTTTTGTTTTGCTCCTCCGATTCTCCAAATCGTGCCATTGAAAGTATTGAGGCATTGGAGCCCTCATGTGTTTGTCGTTGTTGATCTTTCATTTGCATTTTTGGTGGCAAATTCTTTGAATAGGAGCGCGTAATACACGTGATTTTGAAGAAGCTCCTGCGAGACGCTTGAAGGGTCCTTAACTCTTCATGTCTCATGTGCTTTCGTCAGTTTCCATGGTTTCTCATCAGTGTTCATGATGCTCAGGAATTTCATCATGAACCCTCACTTTGCATCATCTGTAGTGGTTTTGCATCATGCTTCATCATTCTCATCGTGTTTCTATCAGTTTACATTATGTGCATGATTTTTAATCATTTTCTTCAGTGTTCATCAATATATTCATCACGTTTCATCAGGTTTCGTGTATTTTCCCGTGACTCATCATTATTCATCGTTTGTCAGCATGTTTATGAGCTTTAATTAATCATTTCTCACCACATTTCATCATCTTTCATCAGGTTTCGCTATTTTTCCATTGCTTATCATCGTTTCCCACAACTTTTCACTGTGTTTAAGCAGTTTTCTCCTTCATTCAGTACATATCCTCTCTCATCATTCGCATGATGTTCAATCATCATTCATGATTTATGTTTCTGGTCATTACTCATCACTAGTCAGCATTATTCATGATTATTCGTCATTTTCCATCATGTGCAGTCCTCCTTCTTCATTTTTAACAGCTTTCATTTTTTGAATTGTTTTTCATCAGGTGTCATCAGGCTTCATCATGCTTAGAACTATCACTGATCCCAGCATAGCGTGATGCTGGCGCGTGGAGCGCCCTCGAAATTTTGCATAAGTGGCGACCTTCTCGTTCTTTTCAGCACGTCGTGAGGCTGGCGTGTAGAGCGTCCTTGAAACTCTGAGCGTAAGTGACGACCCTCTCGGTGTTCTAGGCGCCTTGTGACGTTGGCGTGTGGAGCGTCCTCGAAATTTGGGGCATAGCTGGTGACTTTCTCGTTGTTTTCGGCGCGTCGTGACCTTGGCGCGAAGAGCGTCCCCGAGATGTCTGGCGTAAGTGGCGACCCTCTCGGTGTCCTCGGCGCGTCGTGACGCTGGAGCGTGGAGCGTTCTCGAAATTCTGGGTGCAGATGACCACTCTCTCGGTGGGAGCGGCGCGTCGTAACACTGGAGTGTGGAGCGTCCTCGAAATTCTGTGCGTAAGTGGGAACCCTCTTGTTGTTTTCGGCGCGTCGTGACGCTGGCGCGTGGAGCGTCCTCGAAATTCAAGTGGTGACCTTCTCGTTGTTTTCGGCGCGTCGTGACGCTGGTGCGAGGAGCGTCCTTAAAATTCGCGCGTAAGTGGCGACCCTCTCATTGTTTTCCGCGCGTCGGAGCGCTGGCGCGTGGAGCGTCCTGAGAATTCTCTTCGGAATCCTGGAGCTTAAAGAATCCTTTCAGCTGCGGCTAGCCCAATCCCTTTCAGCTGCGCCTGGGAAAAACAACGCTTCCGGGCCCTCGGATGTGTGTGTGTTTTTTCCTTGCCGTGGCTGTGGGGAATCCTTCCAGCCGCGCCTAGGAAAAAAATGCGCCTCCGGGCCCCGGACGTATGTTTTTCCCTGGGCGTGGGTTTTGCAATCCTTGCTATGGCGTCGGCTTGTAGGAAATCCTCACAGCTGCCCCTAGGAAAATCCTTTACAGCCACGCCTGGGGAAAAACACTTCCGCCACGTCGAAGCCCCATGAACATTCAAACTCAGTGGTTCCTGAGGCCTTAACCCCCTTCATATGCATTCTCTCCATTGCCCCTCATGCCCCCGCGACTTTATGCGGTAAAATCCAGGGCAAACCCCCCATGTATGTCCAACCCCTATCATAAACTAGTACACATGTGTATATGGAGGTTGTACTATTGGAATGTGTACGGGTGTTAACAAAGAAAAGTGCAGTGTGGTTTTTCGCGTAGACTTACCTTCTGAAGCTAGACAAGCCATCAAGAGATCCATGTCGAGTCGTTCAACTTTAGGTACACTTCCACCGAACATGCAAGCTGACTTGAAAGAGGAGACACACATGCATGCATCAAGGCGAAACTGAAAGGAATCCAAAGCAGCATTCCAAGATCAAAACACTTCGTCAATCAAGACGGCAGATAGTGCCCTGCAGGACGCCTGGAATTTGCCCTGAATCCATACCCGAAGCCTCAGAACTGCGTACTAGCAAAATTTCTCAAAACACGAAGATGAAGTCCCAGGTATTGCCCTTTATCCCTCTGGAGCTATGGTCAACCATTCGTGCAATCCTTCGTGCCTTGCCTGCATGGTTGCATGGGCTGTCGTTGACTGTCTCAGTCTTCGTTTGCTTGATCCATAATCCTGCACGCCTTTGAATCCGCATGTGAGCTGCGACTTTCATCTACATTGCAATCCACAGCTTCAGGGCGTGATGTTCTAAAATCGATGGCCTCAAAGTGCCTGCTCACAGGTGCATTTGGTTCGTGCGCGGCGGCCTTCTGGTATTGGAGGCACAGCGCCGAGTGCGCCGCGGTGGTGCCACCAGGTAGCAAAGCTTCAGCACAGGTTCATTTAAGAAGCTACACTCGGCTTTTTAACCGAAGAGTTAGCCCCTGAACCAGTATTGAGGGTGGATAGGTGGATTTCTGGAGCATGTGTCTTGTTATGGAGATGATCTGAAATGCAATGTAATTCGACAAGTTACACCCAACGCCTCAAGCCAAGACAAGCCAGCTTGAGGTTCCGAGTTAGTTACCAACACAAGGCTCAAATTTCTACTTGTGCGAATACTACCACACAGTAAAGACAATCGCAGTACCGGTGCCTTTTGCGCTGCTCACATACAAGTACAGCTGGGCGCAAGCTTGTTAATTAGAACGCACACACACGCACACACACCCACACACGCATTCGCAGCTGAGGAGCTCACCATCGCCTATTTGCCCATTCATGGCAATCGCGAGGCGGGCAGGGCTCAAATGCAGCTACTCACAATCCAGTGACTGCAGCGAAGCCCTGAAGTTCAGAAGTCGCTCCGCAAATGTGTGACCTTACCACTCTAGGAGTAAGCTTTGATGGGTGCGGCTGATCATCCTGGAGCTTCAAAGCACCGCATCATCTTCCACACCGGGTACTTGGGAGCTGTGCAGAAACTGAAACCACCCACTGCAGGTTCGTCAGCAGAGACTGCGAAAGGTGGGGCGCAAAGGGGCCGGGGACAAGGGGAGTGGTAACGCCGGACTTGGAGGATGTAGCGCAGAGCTAGGCGTCGACCTTCTTGCTTTCAAATCAGCCTCTATTCGGCTTAAGAAGCAGAATCAATCTCCTAATTGGCGTGAATGAGACCAGATACCTGCAGCCAAGACTTCGAAGACCTCCAGCAAAACATGTCAAGCTCAAAGCACTGGACTCGCCCCTTTGGACTGAGGCCTTCGGGTTTCACTGCGCGTGCGCGAAGTGCGCTGCAGAAGCGAAGGGAAAACCAATGTGCTGCGCATTAGGGGAGGGGCCTGTGAAGCTGCACGAAGTTGACGTTCTTCTGCAGACCTTGGCATGAAGAGGAGTGATAGGACGGTCGTCTCCGCTCGTGTAATCACTTCTTTTCAGTCGAGAAATGGGTTGAAGAACATGTAAGCTGATGAAGTGCTTGGAGATGGATTATTCGCCTCGCCTCTCACACCCAAACCCTGAGTCAAGCAGAGCCGGTGACCTCAGCACAGGCCCCCTAAATGATCACCTCCAAACCTCCACAAGGCAGCCCTGCTGTACTCTAAGAAGCCGATTGCCTTGCATCCCGTCCTTCTTGTGCAGCTCTTGGAGGCAGTGCAGCCCAATGGTGCCGCGGCGGAGGTCTGGGATTTGAAAGACTTTCGCATTTGGACGTTCGTTTAGACGTTCAGAGGGAGCGTGTAACATGACGTAGACGGCTGCCGTGGTCTAAGCACAGCTTCATGCTGTCTTTGGAAACAAACTCAATATTCCGATGCCTGCGTGATACTCGATTTTGTGAGAAATGCGGAATCCTCACTTTGAGTAGCAGCCATGCTTGTAATCCTTTTTGGCGAGTTCTGCGCCTACGGGCTAACGCGGAAGTTGCCAACGTAGATTCAATCCTTTGCCCTCGTGTTGGCGAAGTTTGATGCCACGAGGTGCTCCAGTGGAAGCGTTTGGCTTCAAGACGGGAGCATCAGCTGCAGCGTGAGGACTTGTGACAGAGTCCCTACTGTTGGCTTTTGAATCCTTGCATTTGTTGAGGGAAGAAGACTAGCCTTCTGGAAATATCAGGCTGCTTCAGGCCAGGCAGGGAGGTCCAGCGAAGGGGGGCAGCTGGTAGTTGGGTCTCTGGCTTGCTGCCTAGACTCCACATAGCGCAGGAAGTGGTCTGGGCACCCTATGCGAATCCCACCCCTTCAGCTCAGAATTCCTCTACACCTAAAGTCAATTAGGCTGGCAGAGAAACAGCCTGGAAGAGAGCAGCAGGAGCGGGAGGAGCAGACGGGAAAGATCACGCAGGCATGGGTTGGATCAGACTAAGACCCAGCACTCCCAAGCACTCCTACATACTGGAGCCTTGCACAAATGGGCACCTGGATGACGCGTGTAGACTTGTCATACGGCCTTTGCAAAGGATGTTAACTTTGAATAGCAAGGAAGAAGTTCTCAGTACACACGCACACATTGCTGCGAAGGCCTAATAGTTATGAATAATTACTTCTTGCCGCTCGATGTGCAGAACATAAGAGCTTGTCTCTAGACGACAGCACTTTCATGATCCTTCATTCTCAAGACTATTCAATGTACTCGACCCTGACTGCTGCTACAGGCCGAGTATTCCAATGCAGATGCCCTGCAGGGCTTCCAAAGCAATCGCAGGACTGCTTGCGTCAGCTAGACTTGTTTGCACCCAGCTTGACACGCGAGACCTACCCAAGTGGGACAAGCTAATTGAGGCCAACAGGGCGCACTTGAGCCCTCCATGTTGCCGAAGCCTCTGAGACTATACGTGAAATGCAAAGCAGCATACGGCGCCATGCAGCACTCTTTTGCATCCGGAGCTCTGCTTGTCTACATACTGACTGAACACGGCCCCTCACGCCCGGAACAATGGGGAGCGTCTCTTAGATGCAACAGGACTCGGCAAGCGTTGATGCGTGACCACTACGGCAGCTTCCGGATTGGAGGTGCAGCAGGCTCCTGTTGAAAAGCGGATGATCCTTTCCAAAACACAGCGTCCTCTGGTTTTACAGTCTCACTAGATGCAGGCCCGTTTTTAAGCTCTTGCCCCCAGCAAATCATCATACACAGCATCTGAAGCTTGATCGGGTTTTCAAACTCTCCAGTGACGGCTTCCATTACGACAAATCTTCCAGATGCATTCACGCTGCAGGCGCTACAGATGCCTAGCCGGCCCTTCTGCAATCGACCAGTCGATGCCGCAAGTTCCGTGAAGGCAATGAAGGTAATTATTCGTAGTTCAAAATTTAAAGTTCACAGGGTCCAGTATCAATAGGGCAAGGTGGCTGCAGGCTCTCCATCTAGGAAAGGGTTCTGCATCTTTGCGTCACTTCTTAGCGGGAAAGCCCGGCGAGCCTTCGCGGAGCTCTAAACGACCCGGATGCCTAACAGAGGCACTGGAAGGCTTAGAGTGCAAATTAATCTCACCATTGGCTTCGGCAGAAGCAGAACTTACAGTACTCTTTGAATTCCTGCATGCACTGGAGACATTAAATTTCAGTGTCCCCTCGTCGTTCTCAAAGATCAGATTCAATCAACTGCATTCGGAAAAGGGCTATAGGTGTTCAGATGGAGGAGGTGCAATCTATATGTTCGACCGAGTCGCAGTTAGAATGTCCGCATTTCGAATAGCATTGACTTCACTCAAAAAAATGCTGGTCTTGCGGACAAAGTACAGGACAGTACTCAACGAAGTTGTGCCGTAGGCGACTTTTTCTGAATGCCCATGTCCCCGCAACGTCTGCGCTCAAGGAATTCGGTTTGTGAACGCTACGCTCAGATTGTTTACTTAGAGCCGGTCTGCAAGCTTTGCTAGGAATTGTCAGTTCTGAGGACCCTCAATTCTAATGGATGATGCCGACGGAGCTTGTATCACAGCTTTGCAGGCTTCACTGAGGGAGCAGTTGTACCCGTCCTGGATTCAGAATCATGCCTCTGGAGTCAACTTACCAGTAGGACGACGCACGGCTAGCCGAGCTAGGAGAGCTGGAGAATCACAGCGTCCACAGACATGATAAGCCTTCCCTGTCCATCACCTGATCTCCGCCATTAACTTAAGGCCTGAACTAGAAACTAGACTATGCCCCCTTGGGCTTGGCATCCTTCGCGCTTGACATGCCATCCTGCTTGCCTGGCATTGCTGCTGAGGAGGAAACATCGCCCCAAGCTGCAACATGCCTTTGTGGTCCTGCACGTAGCCAAATCCACTCCCCATGGCGGTCAATGACATGGAAGCGACTGCATGCTAAGATGGGCAGGCAGCACTACAAGGTAGTTCCTAGTACGCCATGTTACTGTAAATGAGATGTCCATTTGCGCCGGGCGCTGAAAGCAGGAGTTGAAGAAGCTCCAGGAGGAAGTCCTTGCAGGCTGGATGCAGCTGTCATGGTCCTCTGAGTTGTTCTCCCAAGATATGCAAGCATTGTGTGTAATTACGGAACGGGGGTTGACCACGCTTGAGACTTCAGACATGCAGATTCCAACATCTAGCACACGGGTATGCCCAACATTTGGAGATGCCTGGGACTTGCATCAGGAATCCTCGAAACGAAGCCATAAGCATGTCCCGCAGCTGTAGGTCATATTCTATTATATATATATATAGATACACATATATAGATCCCTAGGAAGGTTTTGCTCATCCTCTCAGCTTTGGCTTTGCTACTGTAGCCTTGGTTAGTTAGCCCTGCACTGAGACCCTACCTTACATGGCTTGCAAGGTTGGAGTTTCATAAGGTTTGGATCATAGGCCCAGGTGCCCTTTTCCAACTCTGGGGGGTATTTTTAAAGGATGGGTCCCTGTTTCTGTTTGGTTGTTGGGGCGCATCAAGGCATCCTAGCATGGGCACAACCTTTCTTTTTTTGTGTTGTGGACACGTAGACTTCTTTTCAAGGCATCCATGGATGAACGCCCTCATTTTGACATCAGGGAGTTTCTCCAAATGACTTTATAGAATCTGCAATACTCATCCATATAGGGTCCCAATTACCTTCTACTATAACCTCAACACATACCCTACCATGAGGTAGTAGTTTCTTTCTTCCATTTTTCTTTCCAATATCCCTATATAACCCATTCCACCGCACCCATGGCCACCCCGTACTTGGAGGCCTTGTGGCCGACTCTGAGGATGACAACGAGGAAGACTTGGGCCCAGCCGAGGTGCCCAAATTCCGAAAACCCTGTAGACTTCAGGGTTTAGGGTACACTGTAGAGCCTACTTCTTATAAACCCTGAACCCGGAGACTCAAATCCTACGCAAAAAAAACCCAAAGCCAAGAAGCCGCGCTGCGAGGTCCCAGAGATCGAGGAGGGTCAGGCCAGGAGTCCGGAAAGCAACGGCTTCCAAGCATCGGTCCACTCAAAGGTCTTCTTAAAGCATGCTACGCATAGTTTTCACTGTCTTTGCCATTGTTAATGCCAAGGAAAGTGGACTTCTGTGTCATGCAGCTGTCTCCTTGCAGTCCTTCATTCCCTAAGTGCTTTTTGCTTCTTTCTGATCCTGACTTTTCGCGCAGGTCCGGGATGAGCTGGCTGCGGGACTCGCTGCCATTGAGGAGTCCGCGCAAAGGGGTTATAGGGCGTGGTCTCAGTCAAGATGCTCGCTGCTCGAAGGGGTTCTTTGGCAAAGGCAAGGAGAAGCGTTCCGTAGATTCCTGGAGCCCTGCGCCCTTGTCACAGGCGCAGCACTTTCTTCCTCCGCCGCGGAGTTAATTCCACACAAACTTGCGTCGAACTTGGCGACGATTTTATGGTTACGTATTTCGCAACTTGGTGCATCCAGATTCGGCCCGTGACCCATTTGGAGTCATTTTCCCTGTAAACCTCTGAGTACTCGTACGTATTACATATATACTGATTTATTTATTTATAGATAGCCGAAGTCCACCTTTCAAAAGGACCTCGTCGCAGGGCGCATAGCGCCTGAGGAGGTTGCAGCGCCGAGCCGTCCGGCAACTGGAGGCACATTGAAATGCCATCAAAGTCAGAAGTGTTGCACAGATTTGGCACCGGCGCGGGCTTCAGGGTCTAATTTGTTTTGCCACTACGGTCACCTAACCATGTGAAGCGGTTTTGGAGCAGGTTCTGTGTCGTCACTGAATGACCCTCCATGCAAAAAGGCATGTGCCAAGAAGGTTCTGTGTGAGTGATGTTTGTTGCAGTTGGAGGGCGTGTGAACGGCACTGCAGGGATGGGAGCCTGGCAGAGATACGGGTTTCAAAACACGCGCC